ACACACACACATGCACACATACACACATACACACATACACACATACACACATACACACATACACACACACACACACATACATACACACACACACACATACACACACACACACACACACACACACCCCACCCACCACCAACAGCTACATGCGTCCAGGCAGATATCCGAGCGATCTGTGACATTGGCAACTCGTCGAAGGCAGGAAGAAACGACAACCAAGCCTGCGGATAAGCCTGCCCTCAATTTTTCGGCAGCAGGACAGGAAATGTCGAGATGTTCGGTGTTCACGCTACAGGTCGGCGTTGCCAAATACGGCCCCGGCGGTCGTGCGATTCCGAGTGGCTAGTGCAGTCGTGGCGTGGATTGGAGTTGTGAAGCTTACGCGAAGGGAGTCCTTTATCAAAGTGGCTTCACAACAGTTGCCGGGAAAGGCAGCATCTGTTGCTGCCCAGCCTTATTGCAGGTTGTGGTTTTGTCGAACAACACAAGAGCCAGGATTGCGCTCTCAGATTCGCAGGCCTGAAACGACCTTTACTGTAAGACTCAGGTAAGCCTGTAGCAGCTCATGTTATGTAACTTGTTTCGACACTTCCTCCTGCCTCATGCCACTTGTCCTTCTCATACCATCATAAGGCACCGAGAAAGCTTCCAAGGACGTCGCCTAGGAAGGGTCGATCCGCTCATTGAGGTGTCGTTGCCACTGGTGAGAAAGGCCTTGGCTTCAAGGCGCAGAAAGAGCTGAATTGAGCTGAACTGCAGAGCCAGGGGGACTTTCGAGTCTCAGAGTCTGGAGTTGTCGCCAGGCAGTCTTCGCCCTGACGGACCGCCCACGCCTTTTCTCCGGACCTTACCGCTTGGAGTTTGCCGCGGCCCTGGTGCAGGGTTTCGGCATGTTTCGGCTTCAAGCCTCGAAGTTCGAGAGTTTCTCTGGTCCTTCGTAGTCTGAAATTCGTAGGTGACATGGAGCTTGGGCGAGCTCTGTTCACCAGTGACTTCAAGTGACCTGAGGATTCACAACATCCAAGTGGCATTGGCTACGTTCATCCGGCCTGTTTCTGACATCTTGGGATGTTTGTCTGCTCTCTGAGAGCTCCAGTTTCTTGAGGTGCTGCCCCGGTGGCTAGAAGATGCCGAGGAAGCTCGCGAGCTATGCAGGTCGGGCGCCGGAGGGCTTGGGACGGCCTTTTACGCTGCTTGAGACGAGGCCCGCCTGGGGCTCCGTGCTTCGAATGCCCCTGCGGCCGGAGCTTCAACCTCGAAAGGAGGATTCGACTGGGGTGTGACTGATGTGACTGTGGCGCAGCGAGAGGGCGGCAAGGGAAGCAACGCCCTCGTTGCTTGTTGCCGGAGGAGCTCTTCCGACGCCTGGCCTCCTTGCCGCCCTCGCTCCTTCTCTTCTTGAAGCGACTCCGCGAGGCTCAGTGCGCAGTGGCGCATGTCGTGCTGGGATGACGGGATATGACGGGATGGTTTTTTTTGCGGTTTCGGAGGTCTCCGTGGAGCTTCAAGGGATGTCGTCTGCTTCCGAGGAAGGACCGCGGCACGAGTCCTTTGCAGGCACAGGGCCAGGTGCTCTTGCGCGTCTTGCTCTAGGAGCCGACTGCTCGGCCCTGCGCGTTCGGTATGCGGAGGACGCGTCAGCGGGGCGTTGCTTTGCGCAGTACCGTACCGGCTGCTGAGCCGCAGGACGCAACCGTCGAAGCACGCTGGGAGGAGATGACGGGCCCTGTCAAACTTGAGGCTTCCGAATTTTTTCTCGTGCTGTGACGATGTTTGCGCCTTCGTGCATTGGTGTGCTTGTGGGAGGTGTCTCGAGATGGAGGCTAGTGACAGCACTGAGTGCATCGTGTTGAAGTGAGAAGTAAAATCAACGGATTGTTGCTAAATCCCAAAGAGGCCGGAGTTGGGAAGCGGACCATTGGCTGCTTCTCCGCCGACGGTTTCAGGTGCTGTGGGAAACGGGGTTCAGGCTTGAAAGCTCCTTTGAGATTTCTATTGTTGGCCTCTCCTTCTCTCCTTCTCTCCCTCTCTCCTCTCGTTCTCTCATGCTTATGACTTATGCCTTTCAGGTGCCGGAGGTTGGCATCTCAGCATTTCGTTGCAGAGCGCCCCAAAACCCCAAAGCCCGGATCAAGCGCGGCTGAGGGTTTGTCCAAGCCCGGCTTGGCGTCGCCGCCTTCCACGCTCCTGGAGTTGGCACTGCCGAAGAGCCCGGAAGGCCATCGGCCTCCGTTTCGCAGAGTCGAAGCCCGCGCCGCGTTTCAGCAGGTGGCTTCGACCGAAGCCGCGGTGCGCAGCAGGCCAGGGCCGCCCAGCCGTAGCTCAACAGTGAGAAGCGGCCAAGCAGGTCTTCGCTTTCCTTCCGGTGCGAACCTACGGCTTGCCCTTCGCTCTACAAGCCGTGGGGTCGCCCAGAGAGACCCGGGATCTTGCACAGATCCAGATGCAGTGCGTCTTGCAACAGCACAGTGCAAAGCTTTGCGCACAGGATTGGGCCGTGTCCTCCTCCAGGGAAGAACTGCTTGCCGGCTGTGCCTGGAATGAGTTCCTGAAGGACAGAGGGATGTAATGTGGGCGAGAGCGTATCGGGGGCTGGGAGGCCTGGAGGCCGCCGTGGGGCGTGTGGTGTTGTGTCCATTACTGCGTGGCAGGCGCAGGTGCCGCAGCTGATGCTGGAGCTGGTACTGGGCCTTAGCTTGGGCTTCTTACTTTTGATGCGACGGAGAATGGTACAAAGCGAGAGAGAGAGAGAGAGAGAGAGACTCCCCGCGGGACCCCTACGCCCGGCAGAAAGAAAGAGAGAGAGAGAGAGGGAGAAGGGGGATGCTTTGCCTACTAGTACACCTGTCTTTTAGCTATGTTGCAGCTGTGGTAAACCCCTGTCCTGACATGGATGCAGGGGATAAGGATCTGCATTTACGAGTACCTTGTGTTGCTCGCTGAAGATAGGGGGAACCGCTGAAGTTTCTGTTTGATCCTAGTTGGATTATTGATTGTTCCGGTGAACTAGCAACTGTATCTTTTTCCGGTGAGCGGGGAACCATATCTTTTTCCGAGCTTGTAACGTTGGTGCCCCTTAAAACATAAAGCCTCTAAACAGGGGCGTGCCTGTCGGCGCGGGGGGCTTAAACCGCCTCCTGGACCCTGAAGCGAAGCGAAGAGAGAGAGAGAGAGAGGGAGATGGCACATCATACTGGTAGATATCATGCTGAAGCTTGGCTGCAGGCGACTTCGATGTTCCGTACTTCTCACGTCCCCTTAAAGCCCCATAACAAATGGGGGGCCACGAGGCCGGGGGACCTCAACCGTCCCCCACGCCCAATGAAAGAAACAAAAGGGAGATGGCGTTTGGGACGCGGCTGCGATAGGGTTGAGGGTCATAAGGGTTTTTCTTGATGTTTTGTTGGACGCCAGCATGGGCCCGAAGACCTGCTAAACGCCCCGGCGCACCAGCATCACGCAGCCAAGGTCTGCTTGAGAGCCGTGACATGGCTCTCGTACAGATCGCTGGCCTTCATAAGGGTTTTCACACCAACAGACCAGACTTGGACGTGGGCGTACCCGGGGTGGGGAGCGTGCTTCCCCATTCCTCCACACGCTCTGCAAACGAGCAAGCAAGAGAGAAAGAGAGACCCTACGGCCTGAGGGTCGCCTGGACGACCCCCAAGCCCGGCAGAAAGAAAGAAAGAAAGAGAGAGAGAGAGAGAGAGAGAGAGAGAAAGAGAGAGAGAGAGAGAGAGAGAAAGAGAGAAAGACAGAGAGAAAGAGAGAAAGAGCGGGAGGGATGGAGGGAGGGGCCGGGAGGGGGAGGAGCTTGTGATGCTGTTCGTTGTTCCAGGTGGCCGCCGTCCAGGCAGAGCCTGTGGAATCCGCCCTCCGCTGGACCTACTACGCTGCGGCCGTGGCCTCGTGGTAGCTCTCGCCCGTCTCTATCCAAGCGCCAGCCGCTAGGGAGCGAAGATGTGTTGCCGTCGAAGTGTCTTTGAGATTCCTGCAACGGCAGCCTCCACCTCCACGTTCTTCAGGCGGGAGTAAGCGCGAGCTGTTTTTCCCCCCAAGCGTGCTAGCCAGGCCGGTGGTGGCTCAGGTCCTGGCGAAGCTCCGAGGCGGAACGGGAACTTCAAACGACTCCACCGAGACTCCTCCGAGACTCTCCGAGACTCTACTTCTCTCATCTTCTCTCCTGTCTCGACTTCTCTGTTTCTCTTTGCCTTCTCCTCGCCTTCGGCCTTCAGGCTGCGACTGCATGCTCACGGACGAAGAGACGTTCTGCCAGCCACAGCAGGCAGCGGACGGTACGTGACAGTATGAACTTGTGTTGCACAGCACGGAAGGCGATGCGGTGCTCAGACGAGGCCAGATGAATACTTGAAGAATTCTGACGCTTGTCACAAGCTCCTCCCACCGAGTCACGGCGTCTGATCCGCCTTTCCTGTTGCTCCTGCTTGAAGGCTCGCGCGGCGTTTCATGGATGCTCGCCCCTCCCTGCTGCTTTGCGTGCGCAAGGCGTGGTGCGGCAAGTGCCAGTGGTTTTCAGTTCATTAGTCGCTTCGCATCTGGTGCTTCAGCGTTGTACCGATGGTGCAGGGGTCAGGTCCCAGGGTTCGACTTACGGCGATCTTTGGCAGGTTTCCACTTGCTGCACGAGAAGGCCAGACCAACACGAAACGGTGGAGAGTACTGCGAAGTACTGTTAACGGTGTACTACAGGTCGAGGCCTCCGCACCGGCCGGCTTGCTGGATAGCTGCGCCCTCGATTCACCTGAAGGGTTTTTTCTTGCTGCACCAGCAGTGCGAAGGAAATCTGTGCTGCATTCAATCATTGCGCATCCAGCCCTTCAAGAGTCTCGCATGGACTGCGATTGAAGTCCCTCACAGGCCTCGGCGTCCAACGCCTCGGTGCTGCAGCGCTGCTGCGACTGCTGCCCAAGACACAGGCAAGCGGCTGCGATGTCGTAGGAATCCTTCGTTTTGCATGGCTTTGTCCCTGTTATTCTTGTTGACGTACTTGCTTTTGTTGTTGTTCTTGTTCTTGCTCTTGCTAACACTCACACATACTCAGACATACTCGCGGCAAAACTCACGCTAACACTCATGCTGACACTCACGCTGACACTCACGCTCACCCTCAGGCTCAACCTCAGGCTCACGTTCACGCCCTGCTTCTTACGGCTGCTGGTGCTGGTGGCTGTTGCTGTTGCTGTTGCTGCTGCTACTGCTGCTGCTGCTGCTGCTGATAGTGGTGGTGGTGGTGGTGGTGGTGGTAGTGGTCGTCGTGTGGTCGTGGTGGTCAGCGTCGTGGTCGTGGTGGTGGCAGTGGCAGTTGTAGTAGAAGCAACACTCGTCAGTAGTCTTCTTATGTCGTGTAATACTTGTAGTAGTTGTAGTCGTCGTCGTAGTCGTAGTCGTAGTAATAAGCGGTAGTGGTAGTGGTAGTGTTGGTCGTGGTAGTGGTAGTCGTAATCGTCGTCGTAGTAGTAGTGGTAGCAGTAGCAGCATGAGTTGTAGTAGTAGCAGTAGTAGTAGGAGGACGAGGAGGAGCAGAGTCGGAGTAGGAGTAGGAGGTATTGGTAGTAGTGCAGTAGTAGTAGGAGAAGTAGTCGTAGTCGTAGTAGTGGTAGTGGTCGTGGTCGTGGTAGTGGTAGTAGTAGCAGCAGCAGCATCAGCAGCAGTAGGAGTAGTGGTGGTGGTGGTGGTAGTGCTCGTGCTCCTGCTGGTGCCTGTGCTTGTGGTGGTGGTGGCAGTGGCAGTCGTAGTCGTAGTCTGAGTCGTCTTCGTGGTCATTGTCGTCGTAGTAGTAGTAGCAGTAGTAGTAGTAGTAGTAGTAGTAGTAGTCAGTAGTCTTCGTGGCAGTGGTAGAGGGGTAGGTGTAGGGGTAGCGGTAGTGGTAGTGGTAGTGGGAGTGGAAGTGGGAGTGGTAGTGGTGGTAGTGGTAGTGGTGGTAGTGGTAGTGGTGGTGGCCGTGGTGGTAGTGGTGCTAGTGCTGGTAGTAGTAGTGAGTGGTACGAAGCGTAGCAGTAGTGATATTTGTAGTACCAGTAATTGCAGTAATTAATGGTAGTGGTAGTGGCAGTGGTGGCGGTGGTGGTGG